GTATCTTCCATAATTTATGAATTTTGAAATTTGGCTCCGCCAGTTGGCGGCATGCCAATCAAATAAATTTTCTAATAAGTTTTGGGGAAGGAGGGTTCCCGAAGAAGTGGTATGGAATCTGACAGAGAGAGAAGAGCGTCACTGTCGAACCCTAAAAACGCCACTGCTGATGCAGACTCTTGGGTCATAAATATCAATGCCGTGCAGATTACAATCAGCGATCAGATTTCAAAACCATGTCTGGGTTGTTACTCAGTAACTGTCGGCTATAATTTTCTGGATTTCTGCAGTAGTGGATCCTGTACAGATTCATTAGAAATACACTGACAAGAGTCCGTTGGTAATGTATCCTGATTGGTATGTCGACGTCTGATCCAATAGTGTATGTTTGATGTTTGGAGCGTCGTCCTACAATCATCGACTAAACGGAATACAGATGGCAGTTCTCTGCAAACATAAGGGCTGATTCTCCCGCCGTATCGTTAAAGGTTGCGCCGCTGCCGTAAAAGGACATATTTGGTTGTGATATTGATTGCCCCTGATTTTCAATCCTAGCAGCGCTATCATTTCGAAAATAAAAGCTTCTGAGAGAGTTCATTTGCTACAAGTGGTTCATATTGCAAACTCTGGTGATGTCATTAACGAGGGAACCAGATAAGAAAGTCTTCAGAGGGTTAAGAGGCAAGCAAGCGAAATGTTCTCTACCGAAAGTGTTAAAATACGTAGAACCGAAACGATATTTTTTCCTTTGAGGGGAAACCCCTCCTAATTATTTATTTTTCCGTGAATGGTTCTTCGATTACAGTCATGTTTAATTTAATTATTTATTTTTTTTATTCTTTTGATTCTATACACTCTATAAATACTCTATAAATACGTCCTTTTTGGGGCAGTGTATAGTTGAAAAGGAAAAATTCCGAAGTTTTTTTTCTGTCCGCGGAGCTGGGATAACATAAATGCAGGTGATGGCGAGCTTCAGCACTCTGTCTCCCCCTTCCCATCTCTTTCTGCTCGGTCCCTTGAAAGATTATTTCCAGTCCGAATCAATTTTATTCCCAAATAAAAGTCTCACATCATCTCATGTTAATGTGTTTCATTTTGTTTCAACCTTTTTATGAAATTTTATGGTCGAATTAGGAAGGATGTTCTTTTACACTCGTTTTTTTGGGAGAATGTTCTCTTAAAATCGCATTTTTTCGACTGGTGGTGATTATACGGCTCCTCATTAAATTGCGGAATCTGCACATGATGGTGTTGCCGCGAGCACATTTCCTATTGGCACGATGCCAGCTGTGACTGGCACACCGCCAACATGCGCTCTCCGCCAGTTATCAATGTCCTGGGTGGCCTACGACCGGTGTCGTACGTACGTATCGATCGATCGGTTACCATGATTGTTCCTTTCTCGCCTCTTCTGCCTCTCGTTTTCATTCTTGACGCGCGATTTTTGTCCATATATTGATGTTTACCATGAACCATTTCCCAGCTGTTTTGTTTGATGTACTGCTGGCGTTGTTCCCGTGCGCTCATTTGGCCCATGGTTAAGATTCAAGCCCAAATTTGCTCCGACCGATATCACCCCACCGCCACCCACGAATTTTGATCTTCGAATCGTTTTTTTGCTGCCACGAATCGGTCCCAACCGACACCATCGTCGGCTGCACTCTTATACTGCCACGCCCCCGTTGGCCATCTCTTGCCATCACACGCTCTTTAACGGCCTTCATGTCTGCGTCTCCACGTTTGCCACACTGCTTCGCGCAGCGCTATGCACGTCAGCACTCTCGCTTCCACGTGCAATTGCGTGCCACGAGGCCGCGCCCCCAACTTGGACACCGTCACTTTCTGAAGGCTTTCACTTCGCGTGGGGTGGTGGTTTTCACACCCAAATCAACACCACGGGGTGCGTTTAAGATCAGAACGATAATCGAGCGATGTTTGTGCACCCATTATTGCCACCACTTGCATTTATTCCAACCCATATCCCACCGCCACCACCACCGCCACCACGTCCACCCTCATTGCCATCGTCACTGCCACCGTCGACCGCGCGGCATTTGCTCTTGCCGCCGCCGATGCCACCACCATTTCCATTTCCGTTTATATTCGTCCACCGTCACATATTCCGAACAGTACAGGACTACCACGAGCAGTGTCACCACTTCCTCTCTCGTTACCCTTAACAATAACTTCGCTGAAATCCGCCAAGAATATGAGACGAAGGAGTAGTGGCTCGTCGGCACAGTCTATAAGTTGTGCAGCAAGCACTTCTTCGGCATCTAACTGCGAAGCGGTAAGCTTTCTATACTTGAACTTTGAGTTATTACCATGCATATGGTTTTTGTCGTTTTGCAATTTGTCAAATGACTTACCTTCTGAAAGTTTTTGAAATGCTTCCATAAGCGGTATATCATATCATATTCTCAACTGATTCTTTTGGATGTTACGTATATATCCCACCCTGCGCC